ACCGGCTTCTATTAAAATTTTGAAAGTGCACATCAAATTAAAAGTAGTTTTAAATACTGAAAATGGAAATGATCTCATTATTGCTATTCAAAAATGTCCTGAATATAAAATAATTTATTCGCTCCTGTGTACAATTATGTATATATTCATGTTAAATGAATGACATTTTTATTTTCATAAACTTTAGCTGCTAGTTTCTGCTGGCTGGACCTCCGCCCCCCTGCCCCTACGCAGCGACGACCATGGATGTCTAGGATGAAACAAGAGGCAGAAAACGCCACGAGAAGTCACTGTATGATCCGTCGGTATTCCCTGGCGACTAGGAAGATGCCGCCACTAGATTTAAAACCCGTATTGGATAACGCAGCGAAGATAACAGAGGCCTGCGAAATTAAAATACNATCCGTCGGTATTCCCTGGCGACTAGGAAGATGCCGCCACTAGATTTAAAGCCCGTATTGGATAACGCAGCGAAGATAACAGAGGCCTGCGAAATTAAAATACATCTTTGGTTTATTCTAGCGCGTCGAGATTTTTTATTGGTGAAATGTATATTTTACAATTTCTAGCAATTTGCATGAAACCCCTATAAATAAACAAAGTAAATCTGAAAAACGCATGTAACTTCGTAGTTAACGCTAAAAAAATTGATTGCAGCCGGTTTCACCAGCGATTTAAATGGAAAATGATTTTTTATTTTCTGTCAATTTCCATATAAAACTCAAAAAATTAAAATCATTTTTCACTTAAATTGCTTTCGTGAAATTGGTTGTAAAAGTTATTTTCTTAGCGTTAACGCGAAATCAGCGTTAACTTGGAAAGTTTAGAAAAAAACCGTTTCCCAACATTGACTCTGAGGATGTCTACAGCTGGATAACAAACCCATTTTCATGTGACCCGAAAAGTAAACCTGCTGAGATGACAATTGTCATATATGACAATATATTAACATATATATATAATAAATAAATAAATAAATATAATAAATAAATTGACATATATGTTCACATTACAGCATAAATTACTTTGTTGTTGAATAAATAAAATTTTACATCCCGAGCAACCCTTCTCTTAGCATTCAAAGGAAATTGACAACCATGCCGATAACAAATTTTCAACAATAACTTGACTGTACTAAAAATAACTTATAACTTCTAAATTTTCAGTCGTTAAGCGAGAATTCAAACAAGCCGGAAATAGAAATTTTTCTTGAAGGCGGAATTTACAGACAAATACAAGTTTTTGAAAATTTTTTTATTTTCATAGATAGCTCCCAACCCACCAGTTTGATTGAGAAACGTTGTAACCATAATAGCAGGAAATAAAATTTTACTGAATTAAATGTAACTGGTCAAAATTAGTTTAAATTAATCTATATATTAATACGCTAACATAAATTTTGTCTCCGTTCGTTTGGCGATTCTACCGAACCGATTTCAAAACCAAGAACACCGTTGGAAAGGCATTTTTCTGTTGGTGAGGGGATATTTTGTAGTTTCGAAATTGGTTGAAAATCGACGTTTAAAAATTTCCATATGTGTGTATGGTTGTTTTTGCAACCTGTTCAATTTAAGCTGTTTCGTATTTTGTTTTACTTCGTATTTGAAATTAAACTTTGAAATAAAGATAAATATGAAGATGAAGAAACNATGGTTGTTTTTGCAACCTGTTCAATTTAAGCTGTTTCGTATTTTGTTTTACTTCGTATTTGAAATTAAACTTTGAAATAAAGATAAATATGAAGATGAAGAAACAAGTGATAACTATGAAGACAAAAAAAGGGCAAAAGTGAAGGTAAAGACGAAAATTGACATAAAGGCGAAAATGGAGACAATGAGAAATACATAAGAATTAGGTTAACAGAGTTGAAATTTTCCGATTGGAATCGAAATAAAATCAGCCGTAAAGGTTACTGAAATTTATCGAATCATCGAAGTTTATAATTATCGAAATTTATCCATGCTTATTAAGTTATCGCAACGTATCGAATTATTCAAACTGATCAATGTTTACTGAGTTGTCGAAATTTATAGACACAGAAACTTAGTTGTCCAAATTTTACGGATAGCTATAAAAACGTGTGGGATTAACGAAATTTGTCAAGTTAAAGAAATGTAGCAAGTTATCGATATTTATTGAATTATCATTATTTATAGACTTAACGAAATTTATCGAGGTGTCGTAATGCATGGAGTTCTTTCAACTTACAGAGTTATCGATAATTATTGATCTACTGAAATTGGTTGGTTCAACGAAGCGAAGTTTATGGAATTTTCAAAATATATCGATTTATCGAAATTTCAATGTTATATAAGCTTATCACTCCTTATCGAGTTTAATCGTCTTAACATAGTGTAACGAGTTATCAAAATGTTTAGATAGTTTTCGAAAAATGTGGAGATGTCAAAAGTAAAAATTTATAAAGGTATCCAAAGTTTNATTGAAATTTATCGATAAACTTGAATGTATCGGGTCAATTCCAAGTCCTGCCGAAGTCCTCCAAAGACCTTCTCAGATAAAAAAAAAATTAGTTACGTTTTAGCAGAAGATTTTCCGGTTAGTTAATTTGTACCGTATAAGTTTTGCTACGTGTTAAGTTAGAAAACCTCTCCAAGGCTTCTAAAACTAGAAAAACTGTCGAATTTCGACAGTAACTGGCACTCTAGGAAAATTTTTTTGCATCTATTATTTGTGGCAATCTAATCGTAGTAATAAACATCGAACATGCGGAAACTCTGGCCCGTAGTTGTAGTCCGTATTTTTCCATTCTTAGAAACAGATAATAGTCGAAATTAATTCGACACTAAAGTTAGTTACAGCTTTTTTGGCAGGTATCCCATTCAAAATTATGTCAAAAAGCTGCAATTAATTTTAGAGTCGACTTAATTTTGACTATAACTACGGGCCTTGGTGTCTCAAATCCATGTCTAAGGATGAGAAAATACTGACTACATGTTAATTAGTTTGTTAAGGGGCCGAGCTTCTCTTCCATAGAGGTACTGTGTAAAATGTCCGCTCTTTTCGGTGGATACATTTGCATACAGTTTTCGATTTTTTATGGAAACTTTAAAGGCTAAGACAGTGGCAACACTGCTTCACATAAACCAAGTATGTTTACATTTTCTTTCATAATTTCTATAGATATGTGATTAGCAAATGTACGTACGAGTGTGTGGTTTGTACTTGATTTCAAAAATCAAATCGTTGTATAACTTTAGGCATTTTTTTAAATTTCCTCAACAGTGGGGGCTAAAATAAATGAAAAAACCTTTTTTTCTTCATTTGGTTCTTGATTTATTATAAACTAGCCGGCCACCGATGCGCGAGGCTTCTCCACGCACCAAATGTATGCATACATATGTACATATGTACATTTACATATTTGGAGAAAGAAATCATATGTCATCATGTACTTTGTTTATTATAGACATACAAAATCTTGTCTAAATCCGTTCAGTAGCGTGGTTAAATTACCTCGCCTTTCCTTTATACTATGTATAGAAGATAGTAATTTTAAATAGGTGGCCACTCTACTCTAAAAATGCCACGCACTTTCATTGGTATCCCATTTTTTATCCAACGAACGGTGAAGATCTTACAGTTTTTAAACAGGTGGCNTCATTTTTTATCCAACGAACGGTGAAGATCTTACAGTTTTTAAATAGGTGGCAACCCTACTCATAAAAATAATACATTATTAACCATCCAGAGGCTAAGTCTTTTCATGTGACAGTGACGGTGCAGGGCCCTATTCCACAAAAAGACTTATCAACTCTGCACTTACCAATTTTTTTATCACTTTGCATAAGTTTCTGTTCCACAGAAGTTAAAAATATGCTAAATGATAAGTGTTAAGTGATAAGTGCAAAATGCAAGGTGTTTGCAATTTTTAAATATTCTTTGCAATTTCTGTTCCACATAAGTCATTTTTAACGGAATGCAAAGTGCAAATGGAAAAGTATAGTTTGCAAAGACTATTCTAATAATTGTACTATTGTGTTCCACAAAAACTGTATNGTGCAAATGGAAAAGTATAGTGTGCAAAGACTATTCTAATAATTGTACTATTGTGTTCCACAAAAACTGTATTTTGTGCAGTTGCTAAGCAAATTTTTGAAAAGCGTAAGTTAAATCTGCAATGTAAACGTTCACCTATCAAATTATTGTTGTTAACGCTTTCGAAATGCTTAGACGCGAGTTTTTGTTAGAAAACAGTGAAGACGAGGTGGTCAGTAGACTTTATAGAGAAAGAGTGAATTTTTCGGGATTAAAAAATATTAAATTCAGAGAATATTTCCGGTTAAATAAAATTCAAGTTGAATTTTTATTAAATAAAGTAGGATCAAAATTGCAACATGATACACTGCGAAGTCATGCCTTGTCTGCTGAGAATCAACTACTCCTATGCTTGCATTGGCTTGGAAATGGATGCCAGTACCATGGAATAGCATCTATGCACGGTGTTGCGAAGTCAACAGTTTGCAGAACAGTACATAGTATAACCAAGAGCATTGTAGAAGTTTTATGTCAAAAGTTACAGTTCGCTGGCCTGACAATGTGAGTAATGTTGCTGAAAGATTTTTTGCGAAGGGGGGTTTTCCTTGTGTGTGCGGTTGTGTAGATGGTACAATTATAAATATTGATGCACCAACTACCCATGAGGAGGTATTCGTAAATCGGCATGGCAAACATTCATTGAATGTTATGATGATATGCGGGTGAGACCATAAATTTTACAGTGTGAACGCTAGTTGGCCTGGAAGCGTTCATGACTCTAAAGTGCTTCGGAACTCAGCCGTAAGTCAAAGATTTGACAATGGTTGGAGGCCATTCCCAGATGCTGTTGTTTTGGGGGACAGCGGTTATGGTCTGAACAATTGGCTAATACCTCCTTTGCGCCGCAATACCGACAATCCTTCTGAGATAGCTTTTAATCGTGCTCATAAAAAAACAAGACGAGTAATTGAAAATAGTTTTGGTATACTTAAGGAAAGATTTCCATGCTTGAATNGTACAGTGTGAACGCTAGTTGGCTTGGAAGCGTTCATGACTCTAAAGTGCTTCGGAACTCAGCCGTAAGTCAAAGATTTGACAATGGTTGGAGGCCATTCCCAGATGCTGTTGTGTTGGGGGACAGCGGTTATGGTCTGAACAATTGGCTAATACCTCCTTTGCGCCGCAATACCGGCAATCCTTCTGAGATAGCTTTTAATCGTGCTCATAAAAAAACAAGACGAATAATTGAAAATAGTTTTGGTATACTTAAGGAAAGATTTCCATGCTTGAATCATTTGCGACTTGCCCCTGAATTCACAGGAATGGTAGTGCTAGTTTGCACCATTTTACACAATATTGCGTGTACCGTCGGCGGCGATATGGAGAATATTATGGAGGGCAACAACGAATCTGATGAAGACGAAAGCAGTGAAAGCGAAGACTGTGAAGACGAAGATAATAATGACAACTATGTGCGCCATAGCAATGGAAATCTACGAATGACGTCGCTGCTAAATTATTTTGCACAATAAGTGTGCATTTTCTTTCATTTATTCACATACTCGGCTAACTAATGTACAACGATACAAACAAACCAAAGTGTAAATTCATATGTACAAATTTCAATCATAAAGAATAAATAAAACAATATCAATAATGACAAAATCAAGGCGAATTCATATAAGGTGGTGTTGCTAGAACAGCTGTTTTGATTCGCCTCAGTACACATATGTCAAAACTTCTTATGAGTGAGTGAAAAAAACAGAGTGTTGGAATTTGCTTTACAACTTCCTCCTTGAGCGAAGATTAGCTGAAATTTGACATTCGTGTACCGAAAGCAAAAACAAAATACAGGTAAGTTTTTGTTTTTGTAGTACCGCTACCACCTTATATGAATTCGCCTTGGACAAAATTAAACTCAATAATTTTCAAATGAGTGTTTTTGAAAACTCCATTGAATTATCTTTAAATAATTCTGTTTCAATTTCGGAGCTACCAATATTGCACGTAAACTCAGATTGTTTTAATTGTAGCATTTTTTCTAATTTTAAACATTGCAGTTTACGATGGTAAATTTCAACTTTTATAAGCTCCAGTCTTAATTTTTTTTTCCTCATCCAAACCAGTTTCTGGCGACGTAAACTTGTATGGAGAGCTTTTCCTTTTCTTAGTTTTGGTCACTTCAACTAAGTGTAAACGCTGAAGGCTCGGACGATGACTCGAAATTAATAACACAGTTTCTATTGTATGGTTCTTGGAGTTANCGGTAAATTTGAACTTTTATAAGCTCCAGTCTTAATTTTTTTTGCTCATCCAAACCAGTTTCTGGCGACGTAAACTTGTATGGAGAGCTTTCCCTTTTCTTAGTTTTGGTCACTTTAACTAAGTGTAAACGCTGAAGGCTCGGACGATGACTCGAAATTAATAACACAGTTTCTATTGTATGGTTCTTGGAGTTAGCGCGTGTTTATTTCTAAAAACAAGTAACAGAATTACAATGTAAAGAAAAATAGATGTACATATATGCACGTGTGCCAAAATTTAAAGGTTTAAAATATGTTTTCTTACCGCGGTTGCGTCTCGTCCGGCTTATTTTCACCGAATGAACGAAACGACCACGATTTAGAAGTTGTATGACAAAAAAGGTTCACAATGGAAATTACATAAATAACGAGTACTTGACAGTGTTGCTTGCGGCCGTGCTGCCACACCCCCGCCCCCGTGAATCAGCCCGATTCACCAGCTTCTACGTCAAGTAAAGCTAGCTTAGACGCAGCTCGCCGCAATGTTCCCTTGGAGGCACGCACATCCACTTGTCTAACGACACCGTCTACTCCTGGATAGACTCGTTCCACGATGCCTCGCCACCATTGCTTTCGCGGTAAGGCACTGTCACAAATGAACACTACGTCGCCGAGCTTCAGAGGCCTTGTGGTCTCGCACCATTTCGCCCGACGGGTTAAAGTTGGGAGCTACTCTGCAATCCACCTCCTCCAGAAGTGGTCTCGCAACTGACGAGCAATTCGCCGCTGCTTACGTAAAGCGCACAACCTTTCCGGTTCCACGGAGCTGTCCGGTGTTTGAGCAGTGTTGGCTGAGCTTAGCAGGAAATGGTTTGGCGTTAGTGGCTCTTCTTGATCAGGCGATATCGGCAGATGTGTGAGGGGCCGAGAGTTTATAACGTTCTCCGCTTCAATCAGAAAGCATACCAGCGTGTGTTTCCTCGGCGCCACTTCCTTAAGCGTTTGACGTAGCACCCGCTTCACACACTGCACCATCCTTTCCCACACTCCGCCTTCAGATGGGTTTATCGGGCAGTTGAACCACCACTCCACGCCTTTGCCAGACATCTCGCTCTGCAAGCGCTCGCAGTCGAAGATCTCCGCCAAACCGCTTTGCTTCCTGGTTGGCTCCCACAAAATTTTTGCCATTATCCGACCTCATTCTTACTGGAGCCCCGCGTCGATTTGTAAAATTCCGAATGGCTATAATGCATGCGTCTGTGCTTAGGTCGTGGGCCAGTTCCAAGTGTATTGCCCCAATAGTGAGGCANAGCTAGCTTAGACGCAGCTCGCCGCAATGTTCCCTTGGAGGCACGCACATCCACTTGTCTAACGACACCGTCTACTCCTGGATAGACTCGTTCCACGATGCCTCGCCACCATTGCTTTCGCGGTAAAGCACTGTCACAAATGAACACTACGTCGCCGAGCTTCAGAGGCCTTGTGGTCTCGCACCATTTCGCCCGACGGGTTAAAGTTGGGAGCTACTCTGCAATCCACCTCCTCCAGAAGTGGTCTCGCAACTGACGAGCAATTCGCCGCTGCTTACGTAAAGCGCACAACCTTTCCGGTTCCACGGAGCTGTCCGGTGTTTGAGCAGTGTTGGCTGAGCTTAGCAGGAAATGGTTTGGCGTTAGTGGCTCTTCTTGATCAGGCGATATCGGCAGATGTGTGAGGGGCCGAGAGTTTATAACGTTCTCCGCTTCAATCAGAAAGCATACCAGCGTGTATTTCCTCGGCGCCACTTCCTTAAGCGTTTGGCGTAGCACCCGCTTCACACACTGCACCATCCTTTCCCACACTCCGCCTTCAGATGGGTTTATCGGGCAGTTGAACCACCACTCCACGCCTTTGCCAGACATCTCGCTCTGCAAGCGCTCGCAGTCGAAGATCTCCGCCAAACCGCTTTGCTTCCTGGTTGGCTCCCACAAAATTTTTGCCATTATCCGACCTCATTCTTACTGGAGCCCCGCGTCGATTTGTAAAATTCCGAATGGCTATAATGCATGCGTCTGTGCTTAGGTCGTGGGCCAGTTCCAAGTGTATTGCCCCAATAGTGAGGCACGTAAACAGCGCCACCCAGCGCTTCTCTTGTCTACGACCGATTGTCACGTTTATTGGACAGAAATAATCGAGACCGGTATATGTTAACGGTCTTACGTAAGGCGTTAAACAGTCGGCTGGCAGTGGTCCCATAATCGGTGCGATTGCCGTTGCTTTGGACACTCGACAGACCTGACAATTGCTTATTACGGACCTCAGAAGCTTACGCAAGCGGGGTATCCAGTACTGACGACGGATTTCGCATATTGTTGCTTCCGTATTTTGATGCTTTATGACAGCGTGATGATGACTCACAACAAGTTTCGTAAAGGGGTGGTTTGGTGGTAATATAACCGGCCGTCTGGTGGAAATGGGCAGCCATTCAGCTGCACCGATGCGTCCCTTTACGCGCAAAATACGGTGATCATCTATGTAGGGCGAGAGCTGGTAGATTGCGCTGGATCGAGGAATTGTGTCACCTTTTTCGAGCAGGCGGAGCTCGGCGATGAATGCTTCTGTTTGGACTTGACGATACAAGGCATGCTTGGCTGTTTCCAACTCCCATGCTGTTAAGCCATACGTTTCATCGGACTGCTTGCCATTGCGGCATCGACTCACGAAACGAGTGCCATGCCAGAGTTCGTACTATTCTGCTAAGAGATGAAAAACGATTATAATTAATGAATTCATAGCTTAAAACTGCCAAGGCGTATCTCGGCTGGAGCTCTTCGTCGTCAGCAGCATCGCGTTCTTGGACTTCACGCTCCTGTGGCCAATGCTCTTTATCCATCTGCAAGAATTGTTGGCCGCTCAACCAAGTGGAATCGAACTCAGTACTGACACGTCTCNACGTTCTTGGACTTCATGCTCCTGTGGCCAATGCTCTTTATCCATCTGCAAGAATTGTTGGCCGCTCAACCAAGTGGAATCGAACTCAGTACTGACACGTCTCGCTCGGGTAGCTTCGTCGGCAACGTTAAGAGCCGTTGGTATCCATCTCCAATTGGATAACGTTGTGTTGGCTAGTATTTCCGCCACTCTATAGGCGACAAATGGCTTGTACCGCCTATGCTCGCTGCCTATCCATTAAAGGACGGTTTTTGAATCCGACCAGAGGACACAATCGGATATGGATACTGCGTGCTGCTCACGAACGGTCTGCATCAACCTCGTACCTAGGACTGCGGCCTGTAGCTCGAGGTGCGGAAAAGTGAGTGGCCTCAGTGGAGCACAGCGTGATTTTGAGCAGATGAAGGCGATGCTTACTTCACCAGTTGAGCACGTCGACCTCCAGTAAGCTGCTGCTGCGAATGCCTGTTCGCTGGCGTCGACGAAAACGTGCAGTTCAACGGCTTCCGGCACTCCGCCCCGAAAATAGAACCTCGGGATTTCCAAGTTTGTCACAGTGGAAAGTTGTTGTCGCCACGAACGCCAAGCATTGTTTAGGTCGTCGGATAATGGCTCGTCCCATTTTATCTTTCTCTTCCACAGCTCACGCATAAGTAACTTGGCGGCAATCGGTTCATAAATACGGCTTTTATAAATAACTCAGCTCCATCGCCACCAAGGAGTTTTCTAGTAGCCTTTAATAGGACTTTATGCGCAGAGAATAACCTCCGAAAATTTGACTTAAATCTATCCAGAGGTTTGAGTTAAATCGCAACAACGAAAACGGTTATCATTTTATACATAAATATATGTACATATCTATATATATAAATTACTTCTTTTATTATTATTTTATTCGTTATTCGAATAATTAATGAAGATAATAATTATTCGAATAACGAATAAAATAATTTATCCGTCATTCGAATAATTTTTTTTTTTGAATAAACAAAATTATTTATTACTTACGAATAACAAGAAAAACAATTTATTCATTTGTAATTCGTCATTCGAATAAATTTTGCCCAACTCTGGTATATATTATAAATTTTTTTGGCAGTCTCCCTTGATGCTTGCTTTAATTCACCTAATATCGCGACATTAGCTCGCAGACTCCAGAGTAATGTACTTGTAGCTCTTCAGTGATATAATTTTTTATGTTCTCATTATCAGTTTACAATTTCTCATTACGAATTTACGTTTTCTCATTATCAATTTATATATTCTCATTATGAACTTACATTCCTCATTATCAATTTATATATTCTCAATATGAATTTATATTTCCCCTTATCAATTTTTATTTTCCCATTATGATT